GGAACCTGGGGGAATGCTTCGCCCTGTCATCATCGCAAGCGCCGTCTTCCCCATCGCAAGCGCTCGGAGACCCAGGCTACAGCCGCTGTTTTAGGGAGAGAACAGCAGGCAGGCAGAGGCGAGCAGGAGGGACCCGCGGGCGTTTCTTGCATTATTCCGACAGAAGCCCAGGGAAACCCTTTGGACGCCCCCCGCAGGGGCCCGATCCTGCGGCTCGGGCTCCGGCCACGTACCCACGAGGAGCCAGGGCTTCACGGCGCCCACCCGCAGATCCAGGCTCCGGTCCGGCACGTAACCGCAGGCGTCCCCCGGCGGCGCCGCGGCCACCTCCACCACCTGCACCTGTGCATCCTTCCAGGTCTCCAGGGTCCGCCTCCCGCTCAGGGCGGTCACCCGGGTGCATTGCTTCCGCAGGTTGTGCCTGGAGAAGGCCCGGATCTCCTGGGCCAGCGAGTGCATAGCAGGCGCCGGGCGGGGGAGACCGACTGCTGGGACGCCGGCAGGCCCCGCTCCGGCCTTCCTCCCAAGGCAGGCGCCCGCGCGCAGGGAAGGAGAGGGAGCCTCCCCATTGGCCGCACGGAAGCGCTCCCCGATTGGCCAAGAGGTGCCCGAGGGTGTGGCTTGTTTCGGCGGCAAGCCAGCCCCGCACCAGGTGGCTAGTGCAGATCCTCCTTCGCCCCGCAAGGCTGGGAGGAGTTTTCTGGGTCGTGGAATCCAATGCCTGTCGAGGGAGCACCGGGGGGTGGGGATCGAACTCCCAACCTTAGGCTCCGGAGCCAGGAGGCCAAAACCACTGAGCTATCCACATGAAAAAGCACGCACACCCAGCCAGTGGTCAGCTCACAAGGCCTTGCCTTGCCTGCCCTTTCAGGTCAGCCTCCAGAAGGAGAGGGGAAAATGCTAAATTGAACCCTGGTTGACTAAACAGTTTCCCTAAAGCCAAACCCAACGGGGAGGCAAGGCGTACATATATGCCCATCCCCAGTGCTTGCTGAACAAAACGTTCACTGATTCTACACTGGGCCAGAATCCTACTCTTATTTCTGTCAATGTAAGCGCAATGGCATATATGGAAGCTTGCACTTGCAGCTAGTCTACTAAGTTGTCGTTTGCATGCCTTGTCAATGTGCCAGTCCTGTGAGCTGGCAGAAGACAAGAACGATAAACGACTCTGCCGCTGTGATTTATTCCATTGTGCTTGTGGTGAGGTAAACAAACAGTAAAGTCTGGGCAATATAATTAGTACATATTGGTGGAAATCGAATAGTAAGTTGCAACTAAAGTAGGCCCATTGATACAGCTCTAGGCATTCAGTGGGCCTACTCTTGACTTACTATACTGCATTTCAGCCATTTAAAATTTTTTAAATATTTCCACTGTTAGTTGGCTGAGTTATGGCTAATTATGGGGATAGAATATGTGCAGGTACTCAGCAGGACGTAGCAACAAAGGATGTCTAGCAGTGAAGAGACAAAGGAAAGTAGGAGTAACAGAATTTTGACCAAAGGCTAAACTCCACATGTGGATTCCTCTGCTGGTTTGAGGATTGTTGGGTAGATCTCACTGTGAGGCATCATACATACATCATTCAATCTGTTTCAGACAATTACATACTGTAACCTCTTTGTAATGTAACCGCTGCCACTTTTGAGTGGACTTTGGTCTAGACGGGCGGGGTATATAAATTTAATAAACAAATAAATAAATAATTTAACACCTATACTTATGTACAAAGAAGAGTATGGGGCAAACCGACAGTTGGCCTGCTTTCTGTAAAAGGAGATTCTGCTGCATAAAGATAAGAGAAATGGCTCAAATGCCATTATCCTTAAAAGGGGCTTATCTGAAAAATTACAGGTGAAAAAAGCAGGCAGTTAAAAAAAGATGAGAAACCCTTCCCAGTTCTTTCTTTTCCCCAAGAAGACAGAAGGAGTTCAAAGTCCGACTATGTGGCTCTCTGTTCCAAACAATCTATTTTAAGAATTAGCTGGAATTAAAGTGATAAACAGGAATCACAAACAACACATATATTTTCACAAGAAATGTAACCTAACTCCAATGTTTAGCACACTGTTTATGCCATGTGAAAATAGTGTGTGATGGATGCTGAACAGAGAAAAATATAATACATTCTGGACAGCATATGTTTTACATTTCCATTACATAGCAATGCAAGCAAAAAAAGCTACCCCCTTTACAATCTCATGTCTAGAAGTGGCTTTTACAACACAATGGGTATCAGTTTCATTTTGCTGAAATTTTATTTACAAACTTGCATGTTGTCTGCAGTTTGTGTGACTGGGAGATACTTTTCTGGGCTGGGGTGATTGTCTTTCTGTCCAGCTCTAACCAATCATCCCTTCCAACCATTGTATTCAAAGGGAGCATTGCGTTTCTGAGTGTTTCTTTCCCTCTTTTTTAAAGTCTGTTGGTGTCAGTTATTGTTGTTGATCTGTTCAGTTGGTTGCTAATCAGTTATTTGTTATTGATCTGTTCAGTTGGTTGCTAAGTATGTGTGCAGTGAACAGTATGCACAAGTCTGTAATTGTAATCAATTTTAAGAAAATAATTTTTAAACATTCTTTCTTCCTACAAATGTCTCAGACAAAAGAACAAAAGAAAAATAAAAAAATAAAAAAGACAAAAATGTTTGGGCACCTTAAAGACTAACTGCTATATTTTAATGTGAGCTGTCATGGACAAGTCCATTTCCTCAGACAGTTAGTCTTCAAAATGCGATATTATATTTGTCTTCTTTATTTTTTATTTTCTTTTTGCCTGACGTGCTAGTACAGACTAACATGGCTACCTCTTCCAAAAATGTCTCAGAGTGAGTTATTGAGACTTCAAATGCCAATTAATGAAAAAGGGTGGACTATCTGGGGAACATGTAGCTATTCTCTGTAGGTCTCTGTGCTTCTACTGCACGACAAAAGGGAATTTTACCAGAAATTCAGAGCTCTGCAACATATTTTTATAGACAATTCCCCCCCCCATACCTGTGTCCCAGGATAATTATAACCAATGGTGCAGTTCCAATCACATATTTCTCAGGTAACATGAAGCTTGCTCCAAACATTGTCTTATTGCTTGGGGCCTGTCCTTTCGCAGAGATCCCTTGCTAAAGAATGAAAGCATAGTGTTTGTAAAATTGAAACAATCGCAACTGGACTGGACTTTCTGCAAATGTACATACTTCAAGTCAATCTGGATAAAACTGTAAAGCACATACTTCAAACATGACTTTGTTTTGCTGCAAAAGATGATTTACATGCTTACCTGCTGAAGTTTAATTAAATCAACTTTTTTATTTTATTTACGTATTTATGCCTTTCTCCTTAAGAAGAACACAAGGTGGCTTACATCATTATAAGACAGTGTTTAAAGCTAAGAACAATGTGTAAAAAGAGGCAGCTAACATCACTGAAAGATAATATTAAAGCTAAAACTGTACGTATACAAATATTTAAAAGGAAAAAAACAAATGCCACTCTAAGAAATGGTTAACACAAGCAGTACTAAAGACCTAGTCAAAGCAGTAATGCAAAACAATCCATTTAAAAAGATCACACTCAGGCTGGCAGTCCCTCAGGGAAAGCTTGCCCGAAGCGAATGGTCTTGACCTGCTTGCAGAAGGACAGCAACCAGCCTGGCCTTTTGGCAAGGACAAATACTTTGTGGTAGTATCAAGATGTAAGTGAGAATGGTGGACCTAAGAGGGAAAATTTATTCCATTATATTGTTTCCAGTCTCATGTACTGTATTCGCTTAATTAAAAATTATGTTATAAATACCATCTCTTGGATTACCTTGACTCATCTTTAATTACCTAAGGTTCATTCATTTTTGATTTTGTGTGAAAAGTAAAGTGTGGCATGAGCTCAGAAAGGCTCTTCCCGCTTTAAGTGCTCGTAATTGACATCGCTGGCAACATCCTCCAACCGTTCCTACTTGCATAAATTCATTTGAAGTGTACCTCGGCTGAAATCCTGTGGCTCAGCGTAGGACGCCACGGCCAGAGTAGGCCCACTGGATCCGTGAGGGTTCAGTGAGTCACCTCCTCTGCAAGTTCTATTGATTCAGTGGGCCTACTCTAGTTGTGGCTTACTATGCTAAGCCACGGGAACCTAACTGGGATTTTCTACGAGCTGATACTTACTTGTGGACACAGCAGCCCCCACGGAGGTGTCAAATAGAGAGGAAACTACATACAAAGAGGTGGCAAGGGGGCAGGAAGGGAAGCCTGGAGGGCCTCGAGCCCCCGACTCCTGCTCTACATTGATGGGACTGCCGTTCTAATTTTTCAGGAGATATTACAAAGGTGTATTGATCCAATTCTGTATTGCGCTTGGTTGTCTGCACTCATTTAACAACTGACAGCTAACTGTCAAGATGCATGCAAAAGCGAGCATCCACTTTTATATATACAGTATGAAGACAGCTTCAGATTTGGGTCTCTCAAATCTATGTTCTGAGGTAGCATGCAGTGTATGTAGCCAGCTGAAATATGACAGTGGGGGGGATAACCTAAAAAGGTGTTCTTAATTGAAGTTATGTTATGCAACAGAAGTGCTAAGAGCAGGAAAAGCTGAGTGAGCGATGGTGTGGGGGCAGAGCTGCTCCTGCAAGAAACAGGGGCGGATTCTACCGGCTCACCCCCACCCCTCTCCATGGCTGTTTCTGGGGGGCAGGCAGGGAAGTGGGGAAGCAGGAGAAGACAGCAGCTTCGCCTTCCTCCTCTCTCTTAACACTCAGCTGTTATGGGAACTGGGCAACACACACGAGGCCAGGATAAGTGCCCAAGGCTTTTGTGATAAGCCATTGCTCCCTCCCTCCCTCTCTCTTTCTCTCCCTCTCAATCTCTCTCTCCGGTGGTCCAAGATACAAGGTAGTCTGATTCATCCTCTCCTTTGTTCATCAGAATTTGTCTTCTGGATAGTACAGCAATGGGGTTTCTGCCTCATGAACCTCCCTTTTTTGGTCGGCCAGCTAAGAGGTGAGCGAGGAGGAGGGGCACGAGCAGCCCCTTTCCTTTCTTTCCCTTCTCTCACTCTGTGGGGTTGATTAGAGGGTCTGAGCAAACAGGAGTTGAAGTTAGGAGAGGTTGCCTTATTAAGGAAAACAGGGACTTGCCCCACTTCATGCCCCCTCACTTCCCAGTCATCCAGTCACTGTCTCCCATCTGCCCTCTTAGCAGAAGGGAGGTCAGGGCCCTTCCTTACTAGAGCTGGAGGGTTAGCAGGCTAGTTCAAGAAGGGCAAGATGCAGGAGTTTTTGCAACCTCCCATGCTGCCAGAGTAACAAATAATTCTTTTCTGCCTCTAAATTCAAAGACAGCCCCACCTCTCTGCTCAGTGCTTTTCCCTCTTTCTGATGGAAGCAGTCAGTGAGTCTGTTGAAGTCTGTTGCTGAAAACAGCCATGTTTGTCAGTTTGCTTTTTTATCTGTCCACAACTGTAAGTAAAGAAGATATTTTTATACTTTCTCCTGCTAATGTTACAGAGTGAGTTATTGAAACTGTGAGTGCCAGTGGATGAGAAAAAAAAAAGATACGGACTCCTCTGGGG